GAAATGGCCTTCTGCCAGAGTCTCAGTGATCTGCATGATCCTCTCACTGCAGCTCACCACAGCTCCATTCTACATCTGATACTGTGACACAAGCACAAGCCGTAGGGCTGATTGCTTCATGACCAGAATGCTGGCTAACTTCTTTCTGATTCTGGACCCCAGTTATAGTAAGTAGCCTTCCATGTTACCCAGCAACTAAGCCAGAATATATCTTTAGATATGGAATCTATTGCCTCCAGAAATCTCTCTCATTGCTCTAGAGTCACATCCAACTTGTAGTTGATCCTCCAACAGATTTCCAAGACTATGTATTGGACAGGAGGAAACTGCTCATTTTTCTCCTGTGGAGACACGGGTGGATTTAACCACCAGAGAGGTGCTGCCTTTGGGTTGGCAGCAAGACTCCTTATGGACTATGCTAACAGAGTGGCCTCCCTGACTATTGTTGTTATGTGCTGTCGTGTCACTCGTGACACTCAGTAACTCTGTGCACAGTAGCTCTGAACTCTGCCCTTTCCTGATCCAGTCTCACTGTCTCCAACACACCCACCCCCATTACCTTAGTCACTGTGTCAATCTATCTCATCCAAGATCTTCCTCTCCTGTGCTAACTTCACCCTTCCAAGCATGATGTCCTTTCTCTTGGGACTGATCCCTCCTCATGATGTGCCCAAAGTATGTGAGACAGAGCTTCAAAATCCTTGCCTCCAGAGAGCAACGTGGCTTCACCTTCTCCAGAACAGAACTGTTTGTTCTCTTGACAGTCCATGGGATGTTCAAGACTCTTCTCCAGCACCACAACTCAAAGACATCAATTCTTATTCTTTTATAATCCTTAATAATTGTTCAGCTTTCTGATGCATAGTAAATAATTGCAAAGACCATGGCCTGGATCAGGTGCACCTTAGTCTCTAGGCTGACATCATTGCTCTTCAGCACTCTGGGAAGGTCCCTGACAGCAGATTTTCCTAATGCAGTTCATCTTTTGATTCTTTGACAGCTGGTGCCAAGAATGTTAATTGTGGAACTGCATGAGCTGAAATTTTTAATAACATCAATCTCTTCTCCATCTATCACGGTGCTGCCAAATGGCACAGTAGTGAGACTCTTTGTTTCTTGATGTTGAGCTTCAATGTATACACAAAAACTAATTATTTTGGAATTTCTGATAAAGTTTGAACAAACTGAGATACTTATTTTGAGTCTTAGAGTGGAATTTTAAAACTCAATTTTATAAGCATTTTCATAATAAGTAGATTTGTATAAATGTGAATCTTCTCTCAGACACATATGAATATGCATCTAGTATTAGAAAACTTCTAAAGTGTTTGGAGTAGATGATAGATAATTTAAACACACACACCTCTGTAAGTATTTGATACATAAATTGACCATAGATACAATATTTCACATGAACTTGACATTTACACATTTTTAAAAATTTACTTTTACTCTCAGGAAGGATTTCAATAGCCATATTTAATTTTTTAAATGCCTTGTGAAGAGTTTTTACAGTCACTTTAAGAGTGGTGCAACATATTAATTTCACAATTTACACTCAATATATACATATATCCAACATTCTTCTTTAGAGTAACTGGAAACATCTTTCAAATCTTGGCTTTTATGGTACTTACTAGGAATAAATACTTATTATTTGCCTGTCAAAGGCATTCAACATAAGGAAATAAAGACACTCCCTCTACATAAGTATATCCATAAGGCCCCTTTAAGATGCCCTACATTTTTTTCTTTTGTTTTCTTCTATTTATTTGTAGAGGCTCATGAAGATATTGTCTATAAATCTTTATGTACTTGAAGTAGCTCAAAACCAGAATGCTGAAGAATAGTAGCATTAGGATAAAAAGAAAAGAAGCTACCACATAACCACTTGGCCTGAAATAAAGGGAAAAGGTCATTAGAAGTTATTGCTCACATATTGGTTGTTAATTTATTTATTCAAATAATTTCTGAATAGCTAGCTACTATGCTACTGAAGATTGGCAGTCTTCTCCCATGCAATAAACTGCCTCTGAAAACTCAAAAAGGGTTCAGCTATGGGTTGGTTCCAATGCGATGCTATACAACAAAATGCTATTGGCAAAGGAAACTCTAGTGGCTTAGTGGTAGGGAAATTGCATTGCCAAAACAAAGTACGTGGTTCAAATCTACCAGCTGCTCTATGGGAGAAAGATGGGTAATCATCGCCTGTGTTATTTATTATCTCTGAAAACCCACTGGAAGGTCAGCTGTAGATCAGTTGCAAACATGCTATTGCCGGGAACATGAACACGTAAGCCATTATGTATATCCTCAGGCTGGCCAGGGAGGAAAAGCATGTGGAAAAGATAAGAGAAGTAAACAAAGTTCTCTCAGTGCTGAGCATTGAAGAACAGCAAAGAAAGCATTCCAGAAGTTGTGACCCTGGAACTAAACACGGAAAATTGGGTAGAAGTTGGCCATAGGTGTCTATCTGGAACAAAAACCATTCCAGTGGGGCTATAGCTCAGGCACAATGCAGAGCTCTCAGAGATGAGGAACAGTAGGTGGACAAAGGTCAGATGGCAAAGATATTTTATCTCAAATTGCAGAAAGAATTTTAGCCCTAAAAGCTAGAGGAGAGATGTAGGATTTATATTTTAGAAAGATGATAGAATTATAGTTGAAAAATGGATAAAAGTGAGCATTAATGGAGGCAGCAAGACCAATTAAGAACATTTCTTAGTACTGCTCTGGATAAGCTGTGATGAGGGTCATAACTAAAGAAGTGGCTGAAGAAATGAAGGCGAGTAGAGAGGTCTAAAATATAATTGTTTTGTGCCATCCAGTTGGTACCAACTTATAGCTGATCCACCAGTGGGTTTTCAGAGGCAGTAAACAGCATAGGATAGGATTGTCTGTCCTTCTCCCACAAAATAGAATTAGAAGGGAAAAAATACCACACTACTGTAATAATAGGGTAAAGGAGAGGAGAGGGAAAAGAATGGACAGATGATGGACATTGCAATAGAATGAGTGAAATGAACATCAACTTGAAAGGAATGGATGGTTAGAAACTATGTGTATTGCAATTAATAGCCTATGACTGGACAAACATTACAAGGGAAATTGGGGGAGGGGAATGGAAGAAAGTGTGCACACATGAATGAATGAATGAAAGCCAATCTTTTTTGTAAACCTTCACTAAAATGAAACAATCAAACAAAAGTAATTAGTCTGGGTTGGTGATTGTTCAGGTGTGGGGTTTGAGAAACACAAAGGAATATAAGGTGCCTGTCATGTTAGCTACCATGCTTTGAGGAATGAGTCGTTTTCTGGACGGGGCATGTGAATGTGCTTGATTCAGTTCCTGACATAGTGAATTTGGGGTAGGTGAGAGCAGATCAAAGTGAATATATGAGTGTGGTGAGGAGAGATATCTGGCTCACAGTTATGAACTTGGGAATCATCAACATATAAACCAGTTGGTGTTAGGGAGTAACAATTTCATAATTTTCTATGTAGCTTGGGAGGGACTATAGAGAATTTTGAGCATTTTACTGAGAGAAATAGCTCAGTTACATCAGGACCAATATTGCCTAAGGCCATTATTGTGAAAATAGGAGGATAACTGAGTAAGACACATATAAATGTTCAAAAGAGAAAGGAGAGAAGAGGGGCAGAAAAGGGGGAAGGGGGAAAAATCACTGTGATAGCAGAGCTTAGCATGTGGAGGGGGGCAAAGTAAAGGGGAGAGTTTAATGGGGGCTTGAAAAGCCGGAGTGCTAATAGGCACAGAGCAATAGCAATTATATAAAATAGAATGAGGTGGATGAGTGTAGAAAACACAAAGTACATGTACAAAGCATGGTATATATATGATTGTATTCAAACTAATAAAATGTTTTTTAAAGTTGTCAATCTTTATATTAACAGTTACATTAATAGTTATAATATTAACTTGCTATTAATATTTATAAATGCCTTTGAGATATATATATATTTTAGCCCTGTCCCTAAGGAATTGCACCTATCGATTCATATCACATAGATTCTCAATGGATTCACAAGGATCTGTCTTTTGATTGCAAGTTAAGAACTGACTGGTGATTCAGACAGCAAAATGAGATGAAGGGGCTTATGAGGAGCATGTTTACAGCCTAGGGAGAAATGAGGCTTCATTCCAAGGACTGCTAGCACTATCCTAACAGAATTGGGTACTCTGGAAGGAGTGACCAGAGACAGCAGCAATCAGCTCAAGTGGGTCAGATGCTGAGGATGGCACAGGATAGGGCACGGTTCAGATCTGTTGTTCGTAGGGTCACACTTGATTCGACAACACCTAACAACAACAACATGAAAGTTTGAGGAACTCCGTAGTGTAGTCTGCAGTGAGTTGCTCTCCTAGCCCAGTATTAGACACATGCTACTTTCAAGATGTCAAATAGAGGGCAGATGTGTTAAGGGCTGGAGGAAACAGCAAGTTCCTGTTATTTGGGGAACAGAGATTTCATAGAAAGCAAAATGAAGTGGGGGGGAAAGCCTCAAATATAGATTTTATGAAATGAGTGCTTCATTTTTGTTTTCAATGCTCATTTCTATTATACTGCTATGTGCCATTGAGTTGGGACCAACTCAGCTGTAAATCACACAGAGGAGATTGCCTGTCTTTCTTCTCAAAGCAGCTGGTGGACCCAAACTGCCCACTTTGGGGTTGGTGGTGCCACTCCTTATCAGTAAGCCGCCTGAGCTCTCTTGTTTCCATTATGATGTTGTTTTTCGGTGCCATAAAGTCTAGTATGACTCATAGTGACCCTATGAACAAAAGATCTGAGCCCTGTTCCGTCCTGTGCCATCTTCACACTTCCTGACACACTACAACACATTGCCCATCAATATCCTATACAATATTATTTTGTGTGATAGGACTTCAGCTGGGGGCCCTAACATCCATTACCAGGGCTACATTTTTGAAAGATTCAAGGAGGGGTACTTTTCTTTCTCAATTGCACCTATTATCTTTTGGGATTTCCCTTGCTGATCCCAGTTAGGAAAGGGGCATTACCTGGGAACAAATCCAAAGGTCTCTATTGCAAATATAGTTGTTAGATTACAGAAGCTGTAAATGAGGAAAAGAAAAAAAAACCCCCACAACCCTGATTAAAGATTATGTTAAGCTCATTGTGCTAAAAACCAAACCCCAAGCCCCAGTGTTCTCCCTGGTAACAATGAAATAATATGTAATGAAAAGCTGCTTTTAGTGAAGGAGTACTTTGCTGAGAAGAGATAGGATTGATAAACAGCTGGGGTGGTTTCACTAAAGTGCTACTTGAATGATCCATTGTCCTACTAAAAACTTTCCATCATGTTGCTGTGGCTACAGCGGCCCAGTGATGATGATGATACTAATAATAATGAGCAATAATAACTATTGATAGGAGCATTAAACAGCCAACACTTAATCAGCATTTATGCTTATTAAAAATTAATACTAAGTGAGCATTTATTATGTGCCAGACAGTGTGCTAAATATATGCATGATCTTAGCTAATTGTCTAAGCACTGCTTCCTTTAGGGTGAGGAGACGGGCTCAGGTGGGTTAAGCAAATTGGCAAAGTTGTCACAGTTGTACAGAGCAGTGCTTGGATAGGATTCAGGACTATTTGCTCCCAGAGCCTGTTGGCTCATTCAAGGAGCTGCAGAGTATGAGGAACCACTGAAATAGGGAACTAGATTCTATTTTTTAGGAAGCTGTGGTGGCCTTGTGGTGAGGAGTTGCTTGGCCAACCTGAAGGCATGCGGTTCAGATGCACCAGCTGTTCTGTGGGACAAAGATGGGCAATCTCCTCCCATGCCATTTACAGTCTATGAAAACCTGCTGCCTCGAGGGTCAGCTCTCAGTGATGGCAACTTGATGGCACACAACAACAACAACTACAGGGGTGAACACACATAAGAACAGCATTATCATTTCTTATGTTGCCGAGTATTTCTAATCCAGCATGTTGTCTGTAGGACATAGCTAAACTAACATTTATGATATGGTTTCACCACCTTCATGTAAGAAAAGAGAAGGCAGAGAAAAACCACCCAAACCTTAGTTTTATTACGAGTTTTCCATCTGCCCAGCTAACTTAAGAACAACCCAAGGCTTCACTTAATCCTCATTACAACCTTATAAGGTAGGTACTATTGATTGACTTATTTTATAGATAGAGCAATAGGCTCCAAGACACTAACCAAGATACTAGTAGCTGCATGGCTCAGCTCAGTATTCCTTGTTCTGTCAGAACTGACTTGTGGCTGACACTCCCCTGGGATTTCAGGGGCTGTAAATGGCATGGAAGGAGAGTGCCCACCTCTCTCCCACGGAGTCACTGATGGATTCGAACCTGGAGGGGGCACGACCTTTGGGTTATCTGTGCAAATCCACAGAGACCCTGCCAACAGAGCTCCTAAATTGTGTAGGTGATAGAGAGAAAATGAGGACTGAAATGAGAATCTCAGGCCAATCCAGTGTGTGGAAGTGATATATAAATAATATGCCACTAGGCCCAAGTAGTAATAATAATACAAGATTCTGTACCCACGTATGTTACAAACTCCATGTTTTGTTACTACTTTTGTTTTAAATCATCAATTATCCTTTACAATAATGAAAAAAGGTTTTAAAAAGTCTCTTAACTAATCTGATGCATATGTCTTCCAGCAATGTATATTTTAGCGTTCCATATTCTCAAGGCAAAGTTCTGCTGCTCACAACTTCATTACTTGATTTCATTTCTGAATTATTCCTGTGCCCATCAATCACACATAGGATTATTTTTGAAAAAATACTGCTTCTATTTTTGCTCTGATTTTCACCCTTCTTCCTCTGCCCAGCTCAATCACATGCACCTCAAAGTGTCAGGTTTTGCTTATATTTATTTTTAATTATATTTATTTATTTGTGTTGAGTACAAAAGTACTTAGAATGTAAAGAAGATGGATTAGTATTCAATATAAAATCCTATCTCCCACCATCATAGGATGTTTGTAATTAGTGTAACTGCTACCAGACAAAAAGGAAACAGGTAAATAATAGAAATAGCATCGTAGGGATATCTGGGTGACATCAGGTTAAATAAAAAAAAACAAAACAAAACAAGACTGTAACTTTGTGGAAGTAGTGCTAAATGTGTTTGGTGGCTAGTGGTAAGGAGTTGAGTTGTCAACCCAAAGACAGGAAGTTCACATCCACCAGCTGCCATGTGGGAGAAATGTGAGCAATTTCCGGTGATACTTATAACCTCTAAAAACCCAGTGGAAGGTCAGGTATGAGGGGGTTACAACTTGGCAGCACATCATAACTATAACTATTCTAAATGTAATAAAGTAAGTAGTCATTACTAATATAAAACATTTATATTCACCTATAGTTTGGATCGAGGATCTTCACACCAAACACATACATTCCAGAATGGTCCAAGGGCCAAATTATATGATTATAATTAGACTGGTTGATTATCTCATATGGTTGATTCAAGTCTCCTGGTTTTCCAATAGCATAAGAAAAACAGGGCTTATAATTCTGAACAGGAAACAGAAAAAGATCCTTTAGTACATACATAGTATTCTGACCATAACAAACAAAATTGCCCTTTCTAACATTTTGCTACAAATAATTTACAGATGTAATGTGAAAAATTGATGTCCCATCTAGTCTAGATGGTAGAGTGTCCTGTTAGTGTTCTGCCATTAAAGGGAGCTCTGGTTGCCTAGTGGGTAAGGTATTGCACTGCCAACCCACAGGCATCTGGTTTGAATTAACAGCTTTATGGCATTCCATCCTGGGTGATTCACTACCTCTGAAAGCCCACTGGAGGGTCAGCTATGAGTTCTGACACTATTACACAATACCTACCACCATTAAGCGATATAGGAGTTTAGAACCTGATGAAAAGTATAGCTTAGTGAAAGCAAATGCTTGTATTATTCTTATTTTGTAAACAGTAACAAATTAGGAACCTAAGAGTATGTCAGGCTATCAACTCAACTCATTGCCTTCAAGTAAGAACCTACCCATGACTGACCCTCCAGAGAATTTTTGGCAGCTGTCACTTTCAGGGGAGGAGATTGTCTATCTTTCTCCCATGGAGCTGCTGGCAGAGGATTTTCCCACCAGAGAGGCGTCACCTTGGAGTTAGCAGCACTGCTCCCTGCTGACTTCTTCACCATGGCTCAAAGGTATCTTTTTTTTTTTTAAAAAATCAACAAAGATGAAATCCTCCCAAGGATGCTCAATTTGAGACAGAAGCTATTCTAAATCTTTCAAGTCAAACTGGTTTCTCTCTGAGCTATCACCCTCCCAGCATGGTTTTTATTTATCCCTATTTCCATGATGAGACTTTGGTAGGTCACAGGATGCAAACTAAGAGAAATACTCATCCGTGCACCATTCCCTGTGTCCCAGCCCACTTGTAGGATTCCCTGGTGGTACAGTAGTTAAAGTGCTTGGCTGCTAACGAAAAGGTTAGTGTTTCAACCTTCTGGTTGCTCTGCAGGAGAAAGATGTCACTGTCTGCTTCCATAAAGATTTACAGCCGTAGGACAGAGCAGTTTTATTCTGTCCTGTAGTGTTGCTATGAGTTGGAACCAACTCAGCACTCACCAGCAATGGGATTTTTGTGGGTTTTGTTGTCGTCGTTTATGTTTGCTTGGTTATGCAAAAACTTCCCTGTCTCATTTTTTTAAAAAAAGTACAGATGTAACGAGCTTCTAATTTAGAAATAACCTTTGTTAAAAACTAAGGAAATGAAATGACCTCCCGGATCATGCTGGCTTTCGGAGTCTCTAGAGCAGGCTCCTCCTGCACTCCTGCCAGGTGGCGGGCTGTTCATGGGAAGGACACAAGAAACTTGTGGGACACTTTGTTTATATCTGGATTTTTATGTATCGCATACTTTGTGAGTTTTGTTGGTGTGTTTTGTTTATTGTTTGTTTTTTGTTTAACCTAACTAGAGATATTTCTTTCACAATCTTCGCAAGTAGAAAATGTCTCACTGGACTCTAACAACAATAATTAGAACAGATTTTCTTGTAAATCAAGTTTGGAAGGATTTGATATTGCCTCATTTTTGTTTGAGTTCTCTCAGGGTCTCTAAATCTTAAGATGACATTGGAATGTCCTCTTTTGCATCTACTTAAGAAGGCTGGAAAAGTCAGTCTTTGCGTAAAAGCTCAAATTACACCAACTGTAATCCCTACTGTACAGTTTGTTTCCAGACACGTTCCTCTCACTTTGCTTTGGCTAATCATGTAATCTACAGAGAAAGAGAGCCAAGTGATTTCATCTGTTTTGTTGATTAGATGGTCTGTCAATTCAAATTATTGCCAACGAGTCAGTTGTAACACAGAGCTGACCTTCCAGCGAGTTTTCAGAGGCTGTGAATCAAATCCTTTGAGGATGGCACAGGTCAGGACAGGGTTCAGAGCTGTGGTTCATAGGGTTGCTATGGGCCCTACTCAACACGACAGCACTTAACAACAACAACAACAACAATAACAAATGCATGGGAAGAGATGACCCCATCTTTCACCCACAGAGATACTGCTGGATTTGAACATTTATCTAGCCAATGGCATAATTCAAATGCATTCATTATTCCTTCCTTCTTTGATTTAAAGAAGCTAATCACCTAGCTTTCACAGGTGATTGAGAATGCCATGGCCTGAATCAGCCACACCTCACTCCTAAAAAAATAGCATCTTTGCTTCTTAACACTTTAAAGACATCTTTTGGAGCAGATTTTTCCAGAGAAATATGTTGGGTTGGTTTTTTGTTTGTTTGTTTTCCACTGTTTCATCCATTAGTGCTGAATGCAAATCCGAATAAAACAAAATACTTCACAAATTAGAAAAAAAGAAAAATGATAGGAGCAGTAAGTACATCAACAGCCAGAAATTCAAGCAGGATTCAGAAGAGGCCGTGGAGCAAAGGACTTTATTGTTTGCAAGGCTGTAAATCTCTGTGGAAGCAGATGGTCTCGTCTTTGTCCTGAAGACTCGTCGTTGGTGAACAGCCTTTCAATTAGCAGCCTGCTTGCTCCACTAGGACTCCTCTGTATATAAGTACAGTAATATCTGGAGTGGTTACAGAATTATTGGAAACTGAATTAGGAAGGAAAAGAGAATTTAGAATGGGGTGAGGGTGGTAGAATTAATAGGTGGAAGATTATGTTTGCTTGAAGGATTGTTCAGAAGATTGTTATAATAGGGTTATGTAAGTGAAAAAACAGTGAGTAGAAAGTAGAGTTTTTAACTTGGGAATACAGAGGACTGCACATACCATTTGTGTGTGTGTGTGTGTGTGTGTGTAATTTTCTTGTTTTAATCAGCATGGATTTCTACATGGAAGTGACATTTCCTTATTGAGCATACATCTTATGACTGAAGTTCCTTATAAAATATTCTTTTTTTCCCATAAGATAGGATTTGATTATCCATACAAAAGAAACAAACTTCAAGAAAATTCAATACTAGAAAGTAATTAAAACCCATATGGGAAACAAGGACCTCATGAAATATGCAAAATGGGTGACCAAGGAGGACATTATGCTGAGTGAAATATCTCGGTCACAAAAGGGAAAATATTGCATAGTGCCACTGTTGTAAAACTGGACTGACATCGGGGTGGGGGGATATTGAGAAAGAGAGGAGGCATGATGTGTACGGCATTGAAACAGATGAGGGAGAGAACTGTTTTTTTTTTCTTCTTTTTTTCTATAATTATATTTTATTAATTTTCATAAACATTTACAGAAATTTTGGGTTTCCATTCATTCATTGTTGCACCATTCTCTCTGCCCTCCTCCCAGTTTGTTCTTGTCCAAATGTCACAGTGCTTGTCAAAGCCAGTTCTGATTAATCTTCTTTGTCAGTGTGTCCTTTGCCATTCCCTATCACTCCTCCCTGAGAGAGACTTCACCCTGAGTCATAAGGAAAAGGGGATGGCGTATTCTCTTAGCTACTTCCTGCTGAAAAGGCACGCTGTGGGTTTCGGGAGAGAACTGTTAAAAAGGGATAGATGATTGGGTATAATTGTCATTACAGGAGTGTAGAATGAAGGCTGAACAGCGGAGTGGACTTGGGGGGAGGGATTGTATAACAATGAAATAATTTTTCTTTTTCAAGCAGAAGAGTGAATTGGGGGGAAGGGGTGGGTAGGGAGAAAGGTGCAACCCTAAATCTCTGTAAACTTTCATTAAAATTAATTAAAGAAAAAAGAAAAAAAGCCATATGGGACTGACAACTGGCATTAAGAAATGATCTTTCAGTTCTAATACAATGAAAACTTCAGATACTCTTTAAAGACCTATTCTCTACGCACTAGTTTGTTTACCAGATGTTCAAGATCTTGAATAATCTGCAATCACAGGTTTTCAGCAGAGAAAATGTAAACAAAATTGTTAGGAGCACAGGATCAGCAGAAGATAGAAGAGAAACAAAGATGAAGACCAAGAGTTTCTGAAATCATAATATAATCCAATAGAAAGAAAAACTTTGATAAAAAACCAAATTTAAATTCAAACAGATTTTCATCAAGTTTCTGTTAATATTGAAATTCTAAATTACTTGGTTTGTAAAATTTTGTGTTTGAGAGAAAGTTTATAAAGAATATTGGTTTTTCTTCTTATCATTCATACTCATTTTGTGCTATATAATGAATTGTAACTGACTAAGGTAATTAACGATGCTATCTGATCAACCCTGTATTTTATATTACCTTTACCTTCACCCCGTTAATCCATTCATTTTTACCCCTTGTCCCCCTCTCTCTCATCCCTGGTAACTGTTTAAATGCTAAATGAATGACTATCAATAGGCAGCACACAGATTGATTTCTCACCTCAGGCCCCCAGGCCTGCTCTAATGGGAGGTGTTTGTTCAGCTCAGTCATGGACTTCCAAGTCTGTGCTTCGTTTAAACAGCCACTCTGTGAAAAAATAGGGTATATGTGTACACATGGAGGTCTTGTCCATCAACTTATTTATTGAAAATTTATTATTTAAACCTTTGCTGGTATATAGTGGGTTGAGAGAACAGAGTCATTCATTCTAGAGTTTTTATACAGACAATCACACTGTCATCTGGGGTGGACAGGAGAGCTTTATTTCATCTTTCACAATCCTCGTGCATTTTATTTACTTTTCTTATTTTGCCATGTTACGAAGAGCTCCAGAAACGATATGGCATGTGGTTGTGGCCATATACCGTTAAGTCAGAACCAACTCATAGCTGACTCTCCAGTGGGTTTTCAGAGGCAGTAAATTACATGAGAGGAGACTGCCCATCTTTGTCTCATGAAGCAGCTGATGGAATTGAACCACGAGCCTTTGAGTTGGCACTAGGTTCCCAGTTTCTTTTGAAACAAACAAAACTTTGTTTGGGTGTATTTCTCTCTAATACTTTGCTGAAATTTATTTGCTAACATTTTGCTTAAGTGTTTTGTATGTATGTTCACGAGTGAGATTGGGTCATAATTTTCTTTTCCTTTAAGGTCCACATCAGGTGTTAGAACCATGGTCCTCTTGGGTTCATAAAATTAGTGGTAAGGTGCTTTTCTCTAGTCCTTAGAAATATTTTGTATGAGGCTGAGGTCAAGTTGTCCTTCAGTTCTATTTCCACCTCCCCAATCCTCGTCCTTGGTTCCTTACCTATTTGTTCTTTGTCAAAATGGGTTGCATAAATTTGTTTATGTAGCCTTTATTATATTTTAAATGTTTATATGATCTATAGTGAGATCCCCTTCAACATTCTTAATATTGATTATTAATATCTCTTTCTCTATTTTTCTTTCTCTGTCAATTGTAATAATCTTTTGAAAGGGCCAATTTCTTCCCCTTTCCTCACCAATAATCAAAGAACAACTCCTGCATTGTGAACACTCTCTACGCTACATACTTATTTCACTTTTGTGTCCAACTTGGTTATTTCCTTTATCTTTTTTTTATTTAACTTTTTAATTAAACCTCTTAGCTTAGTATTTTTTTCCAATCTTCTTTTCTAACTTATACATATAAACTTGCAATTTTAGCTGTGTCTTAGGAGTTTTGCCATTTGATATTTTAATTATTCTTCACTTCAAGATAGTTTCTTACTTAGTTGTGATTTCCTGTTCACTTTATGGGTTATTTCATCTCTATGGAGATTACTTCATTATCTTTATTATTGATTTCAAGTCAGACAATATACTCTAATTTCAATCCCTTTATGTATTTTGAAACTTACTTTATAGCAGATTTATAGTCAAGTTGTTCATTTTTTAAAAATATTTACTATGGTTTGGGTGAAAGTTTACAGAGCAAATTAGTTTCCCATTTAGCAATTCATACGCATTTGGTTTGGTGACGTAAGTTATAATTTCTTTCCATTTCCTCCTCAATTCCCTATTTCCATCTACTCATCTTCCCTGTCCCTTCTTGCCTTCTGAACTCTGTTTCTGGGGATGTGGTAACTTCTAGTTGATTGTTCTAGTTGCACTGAGGGAATCTGCTGCCTGGGAGCCCTCTAAAGTGCTAAAGAGCAAGGATGTCAGTTTAAAGACAAAGGTGCACCTGATCTAAGCCATGATATTATCAATTGGTTCTTCTGCATCTGAAAGCTGTAGAATGACAGAAGACTGAAGAAGAATTGAGGTCTTTGCATTGTGGTGTTGGCAAAGAGTACTGAATATCCCATGCACTGCCAGAAGGTCAAGCAAATCTTTCTGGGAAGAAGTGCAAGCAGAGTGCTCCATAGAGGCAAGGATGGTGAAACTTTATCTCCTATACTCTGGGCCTGTTGTCAGGAGGGAACAGGCCTTGGAAAAGGACTTCGTGCTGGAAAAGGTGGAAGTCAGTGAAAGATAAGAAGATCTTCAATGAGATGACTTGACATAGTGACCACCACAGTGGACTTGGCGATGATAATCATGATGGTGAAGCACATGGTGTGGTCCTGACTTGTTATCCATAGGGTAGCTATGAGTGGTAGATGGTTTGATGGCACCTAACAACAACAGCTGGTTGGTCTGTAAAGCTGTTTTCAAAGCTGCTGATGTTCCCTTTACAGGTCTATGTAACAGGGAGACTTTATAGGCCTATCTGGTGGCCTGGTGGAGAGAGAGTTGCACTGCCAACCCAAAAACATGTAGTTCAAGTCCATCAGCTATTCCACAGGAGAAAGATCTCCTCTCATGTGATTGACAGCCTCTGAAGACTCCATGGAGGGTCAGCTATGAGTTGGTTCTATCTTGATGGTAATGAGTTTGAAGTTTTTACTATAAACATTGCTTAATTTTTCACGATTTTTAAGTCTTTCTTTCTGCATAAATGAATACATGTCACCAGAGCTTCCTCTAGTAGTCACAGACTGTATTACAGAAGTGATTTTTCCCCCTCTACCTATAGCTGCTTCCTGGTTTGAGTTTCCTTACATAAAAATGAACTTAGGTTTAGAGTAGAAATATGCATACTATTTATATACAAATATATCATACTTTTCTCATTGTAGTATTAAAGCTGTAGTCATCCCTTCCATGTATCTCCCAGACTATGAAATTCACTTTAATATCTTCAACAAATCCATTTTCATTAAATCTGAAAGAAATAGCAAACATATGAAAGAACAGTTTAGTGTAGGGTAAAGAGTTAAGAACTCTAGCTTTTGAGACACGTGGTCTTGGGCTTAAACCCTGTGTTTTACACCCACCACTCATCTGGCATTTTCTGATCCTGTGGTGGTTCAGATGTTAATGTATTGCCTGGAGTCATGCCATTGGTATTTCCAGATACTAGAAAGACCTATTGATTCAAAACCAGAAAAATCAGCAAGTGAAAGCTTCCTGAATAGCTGCAGAGCACTGTTTGATAGAGTGCTGGAAGAATCCCTCAGGTTGGAAGACTTCAAAACGCAACTGAATAAGAGCTGCCTCCTCAAAGTAAAGTGGACACAATCACATAGACAGAATAAAGTTCTGGGGACTTTTATTTGTTTATGAGGCAAAACTAAAAATGAGAAGGAATGGTTGTACACATCCATTCATAATTGGAACTTGGAATACACAAAGTATGAATGCAGTAAAATTAGAAGCTGTCAAACGTGCAGTAGAATGCTTGAAGTTCTAGATCCTAGGGATAAGAACGGACTGGTTTGGGTCATCCTGGCCAGACAATAATCATATGGTCTACTATGGCAGAATGACAAGTTGAACAGGAGCAGTGTCACATTCATTGCCAAAAAGACTATTTAAGAGAGCTTGCGATGTGACAGGTAACTAGGTAGACTGGGGAAACAACAAGTCTCTAGCAAAGACACAAATAACAAAGAAAAGCAGGTATAGGTAGTGATCCTGGCATCCTGAAGCTTCCCATCGACTGCCAAAAGAACAAACAGATATATCTAGGAGAAAGTACGGTCAGACTGCTCCTTCATGGCAAAGATGACAAAGCTTCATCTCACATACTTTAGGCATGTTGCTACAAAGGCTATTTGGAAAGGCACATCATGCTTAGAAAGGTGGAGGGTCAGAGAAAGAGGGGAAGATCCTTAACAAGATAGATTGATACAATGACATGCTAGAGACGATGAGGATGGCACAGGATAGGGCAGGATCTAGGTTTGTTGTTCTTGGCATTGCTATGAGTTGTACTCAACTCAATGGCACCTAACAACAACAATAAAGAGGGAAATCAGACACTGACTGAAGGAAGAAAACGCCTCAGAGCACTAACTGAAGAGACAAAGCAGGTGACTGGGAAGGAGCCCAGCACCATGCATCTGCTTTGAGGTTCCCTCAGAAGCCCTGAAGAGACCCAGAATTGTAACAACCAGTCTCCAGTGGATTTACATGAGGGAAAGGGATGGGAATGACCTCCTTTCCTCCCTATCCACTGCTGGGATCAACAGAGGGATCTTCCATCTGACCTGGTAGTATTCTCCCATGCTCCAGTCGGCTCCTCCAGAGATCAAGTTTATTGTTGTTGTGATGTGTGTACCATTGAGTACAACTTACAGTAGCCCTAATTACAATAGGCCTGTCCTATCCTGTGCCATCCCTCCCATCACTGACACACTCAAGTCCCTTGCATTAGTTGTTGTGTCAATCCATCTCATTGAAGGTCTTCCTCTTTCACTGACCCTCCACCTTTCCAAGAACGATGGCCCATCCAATTAATAGCCCCTTCGAGCAACATACTCAAAGTATGAATGATGGAACTTCACCATCCTGTAAGGAAGCTCCTTCCAACCATTTTTGGTTGCACTTTCTCTAAGACGTACCTGTTTGTTCATTTGGCAGCCTCATTCCAAGTTTAAATCTAGCACTCAGAGTAAGCCATTGGTTCAGAGAACTCAGTGAACATTGACTTGCTTGGTGGGATAACCCCTGAGAAAAGCTCTAGTTCAGTAACCTACATGCCATGGCCACCACTGGGCCTGCCACATGCTACTCCCAAGGCTGATCTCACGTTGTGCCTGCATCACCCTCCAGCTGGCCTGCTATATGCAGCCACAGTGGTTCAGAGGCTGTGGTGACCACTGACTTGCTCAGTAGCCCTTGTAACATATATCATTCAGTCAGCCTACCATCCCCCCTCCATGTCACTGCTGGTTCTTGTCCTGTGCCATGACTGCTGCAGGCTCCAAAGCACACTGGAACTCACATGTCCATTCATTGTATGAGAGTTAGGACTAACGCTTACTCTACTTGACTGGCATTAGGTGGCAATCATCACCAGCCACCCTCACAATCAACTGTACCACACAAACAAGGAGTAGATAGATAGTTACACAGGAACCCTATCTGCTGCCACAGAATAAAGAATATGAAAAATAACAATCTCAACTCCACCACAATATCCTGGAGGCAACAGGCAACCTCAAATTGCATAAAAAGTCAGAACAAAATGTCACCAAAACCAGTGATCAAAATACAGAATTGGTAAATCTTCCTAAGGAAGAAAGGATGTTGGAACTACTTCCTGATAAGAACTTCAGAAGAATAATAGGTGTCTTCACAGGATTGAGGAAAAGTATGGAAAATTGGAGGAAACCACAGACAAAATTAAGGACATAGATAAAGCTCTAGAAGAATATTTTTTTTAAATCTTTCATCTGTGTGTGTGTGTGTGTGTGTGTGTGTGGGTGGGGAGTGGTGGTGGTGGTAGATTTGAACCACTGACCTTCTGGATCTCATCTGAACACTTTAACCACAGTACCACCAGGGCTTCTTCGAGGCAGCATCACCTTCTTTGCTTCCAAGAACTTGGACTTACCTTACAGCTATCTTTGTCTTGCCAAGGCTGGAACGACCTACTACCACACGACGCTCTGTATAAGAAGCAGCTTCTGCCTTAACTCTCACCAACTGAGCAGAAAAAGGCCAAGTGTCAGAAAGTGGGAGTTGAGAAGCTGTTTCCTTCCCGTCCTCAATAGCTTCCAGAAACCATGAAGATCTTCAATGTTGTTCCCACAGGTTAGCGGTCAAACATGCACACCGAGCTAGGTGGTGGCTGACTTGAAGGTTCCTGGTGGAGGTGGTGCTAGAGAAAAAGCCTGGGAACCTCTTTCCCAAACAGTCAGCAACAATCAGCTTGAGCTGTCAAGACCATTCTAACCAGTGGTGACCCTGTGTCTTGCACAGAAGAACTGTGCAGAGTCCATAGGAAGTTCAAGGTCATGGCCTTTTAGAAGCCTTTCTTCTGGGGCTCTCTTGGCGGGTTCTTACCAACCACCTGGTTAGTCCAATATTTACGCATTTGTGTCTTCAGGGATTCCTCCAAGATGATAGTAATTGAAACCCCTGCTGGACACAGTGCTAGTCTGAAGTCACTAGTAGTAGTCAGTGGGGGCAATGGCTTTGGCTTGGAGCTACTCAGAAGTAGTTGTGATTCTTCAACGAGATGAAAAGGCAATCTCTAATATCATTTGGAATGGAAAGAGGCCCCAATTAAGCAAAGCACTCCTTAAAAAGAGAAACAAGGTAGGAGGCATCTAACTCCCTGATTTCAAATCCTACTGCACTCCCATGGTGATCAAGACAGCGTGGTACTGGTACAATGACAGACACATAGATCAATGGAGTAGAATTGAGAAGCCATAAGTCAGCCCATCTACCTATGGTCAACTGATTTTTGACGAGGAGATGAAATCAGTTAAGTGGGGGAAATGACAGCTTTTTAAACAAATAGTGTTGGCAAAATTGGATAACTATCCGTAGAAAACTCAAGCAAGATCCACACCTCACTCCGTACACAAAAACCAACTCAAAGTAGATTAAGACATAGGACTAACTAAACCCAAGGACTATAAACTTCATTAGAGAAAAGTTTGGAAGAACTCTAGATGCCCTAATTCACACATAAAGAGTCTTCCAAGCGTCCTGGAAAACATACACACAGGAGAGAGTGAAATAGATGAATGGGGCCTTCTAAGATTAAAATCCTTATGCACATCCAAAAGCTTTCCCAACAGGGTAAAAAGGGAAGCCACAGACTGGGAAAAAATATTTGGTAATGGCATGTCTGATAAGGGACTTATATCTATTGTTGTTGTTATGTGCCGTCGAGTCACTTGCGACTCATAGCGACCCTATGTACAATAGCCCTAAACTCTGCTCTGTCCTGTGCCAAT